CATACATACATACATACATACATACATACATACATACATACATACATACATACGTACATACATTCATACTGTAGATATACAGTATATTTACACACACAGACGTACTGTATATACACACTCAGTGACCAGTCAGAACCCCCTGGATCTTCTTTGTGAGCGTGTGTGTGTATGTCCAATTGAATGTTTGATAATTTAGTAATTTTATATCCTAACCTTGACCATTTACCCTAAAATTAACCTCACAGGTGTTTTTCCTCCGACCCCAAAAGTCGTACTGCAGCCCAAACCGTAAATAGTGTTTAGATGATATTTAAGAGGTATGAACTTGTGACCTACACGATGAGCAAAAAAAAATGCTAACATATCCAGCAATAGGGGGCGCTAAACCTACCTGACCCTAAAATTGACCTAAACTCAATTCACACTTGATCTTAAACCTAACCCCCCATCCAAAATCAGCCTCCGAAGTCGTGGGGGGGCTGCATTTTCCTGACAAATCGTCCCCACCAAGTAGCAAAAACAAGGGCACACACAGAAGTTTGTATTCCTATTCTTATTAGGACTGTTCATTGACTTCCATTCATTTCCAGTCATTTCTACAGCCTAACCRTGACCACCAACCKTAACCTCACAGGTACCTCACCTGACCCTAAAACTAACCTAAACTCAGTTCACACCTTAGTCCTATACTTAACCCCCAATCCAAAAATGGAGTTCCACCCTATTAGGACCAGTCTTTGGTCCCCATTAGGACTACTGGTCTTTGGTCCCCATTAGGACTACTGGTCTTTGGTCCCCATTAGGACTACTGGTCTTAACAAGGTATGTGTGTATACCAGAAATGGTCCTAGATTGTAGGGGTGCAACAATACATGTACCCGTGTCGAACCGTATCAAACAGTGCTGTATGGAACAATACAGATTTTAAAATGTATTTTATCAACTTGTCTTCTGAAGATGCTCTGTGTTGAAGGATCAGTGGATCTGTGTTCGACTACTCCACCTAGGCTGCATTTTTGAGCACAGATCCACTGAGAAACTTGCTGTTTCAGCAACATTTAATTTAAAAACTGTACTTTTGAGGTTAAACAAATGTTCATAATTAATTTAAATAAATTACAAGTTAAAAGGGGCATGGAAATTTCTCTTTTTTGTATCGAAAAAATATCGAACCGCGAGACTAAAGTATCGAACCAAACCGAACCGTGAATTTCCTGTATCGTTGCACCCCTAATATATACACTGTATATATATGTGTGTGTGTGTGTGTGTGTGTGTGT